CAGACACTCCCGGAGCGGACACTAAGACCGACACAATAGTCAGTTCAGTGAAGAAATTGTAGTTTCAATTGAATCAAAGAGTTTATCATTAATTGATTTAATAAATTTAATTTAAATTACAATTAAATGTAAACCCCTTGAAATACATTTGTATTTGAATTTTATAGTTTCATAAAAATATATTTTTGATTCAAATCAATGAATATTTTCAATGAAACACTTCTCTACAAAAATCTCATCAAAAGTTTGATTTTTATCAATCAATCTTTGTATACGTTTTTGTGTGAAAATTATTGAAATAAAGTTTCAATATTTGTAATGTATTTTATAAATAGCAAACATTAACAATGAGGTGATTATGTGATCTAACGTAAGACCTATCACTAGGACCTCGATTCTGGATATTCTGGGTTATATTCAAACAAACTTTACATTCCTATAAAGTTGTATGAAATAGTGATTTAGGTTTGCTATGAAATGCAATGCAAAGTGAATGCATTGAATACATTGCGTAAGTGTTTGTGTGATGTGTTCACAGCTATAGCTATAGTGAATGGTTTAAGGGCTTCGAGGGTTCACATATCCATTCAATTCACATAGAATTCAATTCTTTCATTATTTGCATATTTAGAAAGTTTTTGTGTTAAACATTTCATAGATATTCTGTCAATAAATTTAAAAATGCTTTTTTTAATCAGTTTTTAATGAATTAAATTTTAAATGAGAAGCAAATTAAGTTATATTCAGATAAAAACAAAAGTAATAAAAATCAGGAATTTAGACGAAATCGAGGTTCAAATGTATAAATCTTTTGGTGATTAGAAATGAATGAAATATCAATCAAATAATGCATAAAATGAACGAATTTTGAATTAACAGACAAATGTGTGGAAATGGTGTCTAGAAATGTTTGAAATATACGCTGTTTTTGTGTATGTCTGCTGTAAATGTGGTATAATTTATCGTAAATTGTATTCACCGCAAGTATTCGTTGCTTTTATAGTGTTTTATTGAAATTATTGTTTAGGAATAAAGTTTGTATTGAAATACAAAGGCCTGTGAAATGGTATGAAAGTAAAAGAAAGGCTATTATAAAGGCTTTACCTCTGATTACATTACAAATACATTTTAATGAATTGAATTTCAAATGAAGTTATATTTAAATAAAACAAAAGTAATAAAAATAAGGAATTTAGTCGAAATCGAGGCCCAAATGCATAAATCTTTTGGTGATAAGAAGTGAATGAAATATCAATCAAACAATGTATGAAATGAACGAATTTTGAATTCACAGACAAATTTGTGGAATTGGTGTCTAGAATTGTCTTCAGGGACCACCTCTTCCACGACCACTACCTCCTCCTCCGAAGGGGTTCTTTGGTTGTGGAGATTGAGACCGAGTCCTGAATCCTGAGGGCGGCCGCGGATCACGTCTGACTTGAGGTGAAGTCTTTGTGAGTCTCGGGTACGGAGGCGTTGGCAGAAACTGCGGTGACTTCGGACGCATCACGTGTTGCGGGTCCGTTAGTTGTGGAGAGTGAGACCGAGTCCTCGGTCCTGAGGGCTGCGGCGGAGGGGGTCTCTCTTCAGGGGCAGTCTGTATGAGCCGCGGGTACGGAGGCGTTGACAGAGACTGCGGTGACTTCGGACGCATCGCGAGTTGCGATCCAATCATTGGGATATTGGGAGAGACGGGAGGCGGCGGTTGACTACCCGTTGCAGTCGTCGGGACCTGACATTGATTTTGGATAACCATTTGGAGGGGAAGTGATTGCGATATTTGCTCACTAGTGACCCGAGACTGACAGTCACATCGATGTCGGGTGTCTTGAGCTCCAGTTCGACCACATTTACGGTTCGCTTTCATTTGTTTGCGATCTTTGAGCTCCACTTCGGGGTCACTGAAGGCGAGGGCACCCATACATACACCACAACCGCAGCCAAAGATGAGACCCACGAAGAACCCAATGACGAGACAACTGATGATAATACCAGTGACCGGAAAATTCATGCGAATGTTTAGGACTTCGGTTAGCATTCGGTAGTAATATTTGAATAGAGTTTCGTTTGGAGTCTTTGAAAGACTCGACGAATTGGGTCTCAATAGTGAATATTCTTCTTGAGTGCCATTCAATGACAGAACTGCAGTACTCATCAAACAGACAATCATTATTGATATAAAAGAAGACATTTTTGTGGAATTCAATCAAAAGACTGGAAATCGTTGTGTTGTTAACGAAGTCTAGAATAAGTTTAAATAATTAGAGTTTTATCTCATTTTAAATGCAATTTATTGTTTAAAATCTCGCGATTTGTTCATCCGTTTGACAAACAGTGATATAATTTGCAACTATTATAACAATTAGAGAATTGATTATTATTCAGAAAATATGACTTAATATTGATTTAAATGTTGAATATGTTGTCAATCAATCTATTGTTTGCTCATAAATATAATGGTTTAAACTTTAAACAATGAAAAATTGTATTAAATTGCATGAAAATAAATATAACTGTAATAATCAATTGATATTTATTTAGTATATGGTTAGTGTAATCAATGATCATGAACATTATAATACATTTAATATTAAATGTACTAAAATAAAAAACACAAAGTTTTCAATACCACTGCTTACAAAATATTGTATAAAATTAATTAAATTTATTAAATGTAAACAAATATTAACAATTTACAAAATGTGTTTATTATTGCCCTAATCTTTAGCTACTGGTGCTGTGGCCGTGGATGTGGTGGCGTTGGCACCAGTAATAGCGGTATTTGTATTAACCGTCGATGACTGAAATCCGAGAAACGCTTTGACAATGCGATCGCATTGGCGGCCCTCTAAGTACCGAAACAGTTGCGAAGTGTCGGCCAACTCGTGGTAGTCGTCGAATGCTTGTAAGTAATTGTCACCGGCCAGCGGTTCCGTCTCTATTAATGTAATTCGCTGCCAATTAGTGGCGCGGATCTGTTGCCAAAACTCTTCGCAATTGGCGGCCAATCCCTCGACACATATGAAACCCGGTTTCCCAACACATGTGATACCATTGAGGTGTAACTCTTGGGCCAAACTAATGATCATTTGCCGTTTTTTGGTCGATTTGATGTGATGCGAGTAGATCCAGTACCGAGTCATTTGTGCTGCTGATTGGCCCGGCGTTGTATCCGCGTTCATGCCATTGGAACCCAATTGGGATTCGATGGTCTGCTGTTCAGATCCCATGTTCTTGAGATCAGTCCACAGATCGAGCACTTTCTGTACGACAGTAATCACGTCGCAGAGGGTGTCTGTGGCGGCACAGGTGGCGATAAACTGACCGACACTATCATTGAGCTGTTTCTGTACCGAATTGGGCAGTTGTCCGTCAAAGAGTCGGCAGTGGGCGCGTACGGGCGCTCCCGTCGGGTACTCCACGTCTAGTATGATATGAATGTCCAGATATTTGTCGCACCGAAATGTTAGCCCAATCTGTTTGTGTCGGTAACCGAGACCGTAGTCCTGGTCACTGACCGCCTGTAGGACATGTGGGTCGTCGTACGCGCATTGACCAGGGTACATCGACGACAGCACTATCAGCTCATCTATTCGTACGTCCGGTGCACTCGTTGTGGTGCCCAAGACTGTCGACTCTTCATCGCCGGTGCCTTCACTGGAGGACAGGTCTACGGCAGCGCCCGATGAACCCATTGGCACAACACGTGTTGTCAATGTTTACCAAATAGACTAATAGACGTGTAAATTGTGCTGTGTTTTGGTGAACGACCACTATTTCTGGCGAACAACCAATGGATCGTCAAATTTATTATTGACGTCAAAAATGAGTGTTTATTTGAATATTAATTGTTATATGAATTAAATTAATTGTGATCTTCACTCACAAACATATAACATGTAAATTAGATGGCAATTCACTGCAGATATGGAGTACACTGTAAGGGATTATAAGATGGAAATGCATTGAATGGTGACCTAAATATGACCACTCGTTTGTGTCTCAACCAAAACCCGTTTAATCCACGAAACAATCAATTGATCACATGTTATAGAAATACATTTAATTAATGAATCACGTGTTCATTGCGTGAATACAGTAGTGAACAGCTGTGGTCTGTTTGACAACACATTTCAATATCCATAGTCAACAATAACACAGTATTTGCATCACTAGTAGTGTTACCACATGTCATACATTACGCAATATTACGTTAACTTAATAATGATTGATTGGTCACATAAATGGGTCATTCATTACCAAAGAGTTGTCTTTACATATATAAAGGTATAACTCCCATACCATCGCCTCCCATACCATTTCCACCCATACCATAACACCCCAACCCAATGGCAAAACCTAATTGCCTCCCATACCATCTCCACCCATACCATCGCCTCCCATACCATTTCCACCCATACCAACCCCAACCCAATGGCAATAACACAGTATTTGCATCACTAGTAGTGTTACCACATGTCATACATTACGCAATATTACGTTAACTTAATAATGATTGATTGGTCACATAAATGGGTCATTCATTACCAAAGAGTTGTCTTTACATATTTTACATATGTTTAGGGGTAAGAGATATTGAAGTTCAATAGCTTAAAGATATATCCAATCATAACTTAAGAGTATTTTGAGACCTATTTGTTATCACAAACACATAATTAATATTTGTCTGTTACCACTTACATTTTTACATTTTAATTAACTAAATTGATTAATAATAAGTAAAATAAAGTAACAAATTATATAATACGGTAGTTAAAACTTTAATTTATTGTTTTTATTGCTTAAGCATTTAATGGTTTGGTTTCTTAACTTTAATAATCACTTTATTTGTCAATTCTTTTGAAAGACTTGTTTTAATTCTTTTAAAAATATTGAGACCAAAAATCTTTGATAAACTTATGGACAATAGATTGCAATAGAAATACGAGACAAACAATTTGTAGTGAATGTGTTGTGAGAATGTTGTGCGAGAATGTGGTTCAGAACCTGCTGTCCATCATTCCGGGTCTGTCTCTCTCTTCATTGCCTTTCTTCTCGAAAAACATATAATCGATGAGAAAAGTGGCGGCCAATAGACACACTTTGGTCTTCACATCCATATCCATTGGGAACAGCACTCCATAGATATCGGCGTCAGTGAACGTCTCCCTTAGAATACCGGACCATCTCTTCGTAATTCTTCCAACTCTTGCGCTCTTATCGTTTGAAAAGACGTGAAACTCGACGTCTTGACAGAAGATACTGAACGTACAAACGGGTCCTTCAATTCTCAATGTCTTTTTACCAGAAGGATCTTCGATGTGAAACGACGGCCGCAAACAACTGCAGTCCTGCACAACGTGTCCGATGAGCTGACCCGGAGGTGACTCCACTCGCATGTACTGAAGGCAACAGAAACAGCAACACGTGTCACATCTTAGCGGTCGATACAAATGTATGACTTCCTGTCGCGACGGACCGACGATTCGCATATCAAATGCACGGTTAGGTCCGCAACAGTTGCGAGTGCAACAGTCCGTGTCCTCTGAGGCCATGAATACATTCTGTCCCAAATTGTTTTGGATGTCGTACTGATTGTTTGTCTCAAAACCGGTTAAAGTTTCCAATAACTCAATTTTTTGTTTGACGAGCAGTTGATCCACTTGTAAGAGATACTCGAGTCCTGGCGGACAGTTCACCGCCTTTAGAGTGTTGGGCATTGGCATGAGTTGAGGCGTTGGCCCTCTCATTGGTGTCATTACAACATTGGTTTGTGGTTTTGGTGTGTTTTCAGACATTTTGCTGAATTTTTAACGAACTCTTAAACTATTAATTTTAAAAATGTTTTCATAATATGATCGCGCATTTAATGCTTAATTGTATTAGATTTAATATTGGATTTTTGTTAATGTTTTATTCAAGTCTCTAAACACTTTTTTGTCTCATTATTGATAAATGCTTTTAAAATATACATGTATCTTTGAAAAAGTTTAATTTTGTATTCAATTGCAAAAAATAGATTTTTCATTAAAACTTAAACTAAAGGAAAACTGATTTATTGTTTCTTTGGAAAGACATTCCTGTCGTCGTATGAAAGCCGGTGTTTAAAGCGATTTCTCGGATCTTTTTCTGGCAATTCATCGCATTTGAAAATTTGCATAATTCTGATCATTGCCTCCATATATGAATCCATTGTTTGATATCTCGAAGTATTAGACGGATGTGTTGACCACTTGTACGTCCATTTGGGCACTTCGTTTGTTGCCATTTTCATCCAGAAAGCACTGCCTTCGCGCACATCATAGCATGTCTTCGCTGATAATACGAGTCCAAGAAAGTCGGCCTCCGTTTCAATGAGTCTTCTCTTCGGCAGTTCTAACAGTGCTTTTAAAGTCAAAACAGTGGCTATTGTGCCGATTCCAGCCTGGATTCCAGGCAAACGAAGCCATAATAAGAAGATAATCAGCGTTTTAGCAAAATCAGCCAAAACTTCTTGACTCAACTGTTTATGTGAAATAAAATGAGAGAACAATGAAAGAAAGAAAACATAGAAATAAAGTTCAAATGAATGACCACTTCGTTTCCGTGACCCAGAAGTGTGTGCGAGAGTTCGTGCGCCAATATAGTGGCCAATTGGTCCTCATTATCGCACTGACGGATGATTCCCGTGTAGACGAAGATCTGTCCCGTCGGCAACACAAAGGCATTGGCAACCGAGTGGTCGTCGATCACAAACACCTTCCAGTCTTTGCTTTTGATTTCTTCGAATTCTTTGTTTGATTCCAACAGACGTTTTACAACTTTATTTACTTTTTTGGTCGCCTTATGATTGACGCCTAAGATCTTATTCTTATATGATTTGTAGAGCACTTTAAACAGAATATGACTGATCTCTTCGTAACTTTCTTTCCCAAAAAGTACAAATCGTTCGCGTTTTGTAATTGGAGTCTCAGTTTTGAAATACTCATAAGAGAAATGCCAAATTGCATACAAAATACTCGATGAGAGGGCTATTGGAAATGGATTTCTTAATACCAGTTCCAACAGTGATGTACTTTTAAGTAAATTTCTTCGCATCAAAATGTTGTGCAAAATACGTCCTAAAGCTATGCTAACAATGGGTCCGATTTGACTAAAGAGTAGGACATTAAAGGTGGCCGTAAAATATGTCCGATTGGCTCTTAAGTTGTTAACATTTTGAAAACTGCTTGGATTATAAATGCATTTCCCAAACAAATGTACTTATTTGCTGGCATTTAATGGACGATAAGCTAAACTTCTAAAATGTGATGTCATTATAGAAAATTGCCTTTTAATTACAAAATTCATTTTATATGTCTTAGAGTTGATTGATATTTAGTAAATACTTTTGTACGAAATAATTATCAGTTTTGTGGGAAATATACGGTAATTTTGGTAAGTAATTTAAATAAGTAATCGAGCTAACAATTGTTAATTTATAGATTCAGATATACAGTACTTGTATTGACTTATGTGCAGATAAAGCAATAATCAATAATAAAATGGTATTGAAAATGTTGTAAATTAATTTTTATGCCTTTAATAAATTTACGACAATTAATGAATTTATAGTTTTTGTTAATTTTTTGCTTTTTAAACTGTCAACTTTGAAAAATGTGTTTCAGAAAGTTTGTAGTTTTGTATTAAATTCGAGAATTTAGATCAATCTTATATAAATCATAGGAAAACAATCAAAAGGAAAACTAATTTAGTGTTTCTTTGGAAAGACATTCCTGTCGTCGTATGAAAGCCGGTGTTTAAAGCGATTTCTCGGATCTTTTTCTGGCAAATCTTCGCATTTGAAAACTTTCATAATTCTGATCATTGATTCCATATATAAATCCATTGTTTGATATCTCGAAGTATGAGACGGATGTGTTGACCACGTGTGCGTCCATTTGGGCATTTCATTTGATGCCATTTTCATCCAGAAAGCACTGCCTTCGCGCACATCATAGCATGTCTTCGCTGATAATACGAGTCCAATAAAGTCGGCCTCCGTTTCAGTGAGTCTTTTCTTTGGCAATACTAACAGTGCATCTAATGTCAAAACTGTTACGATTGTCCCCAAAAAAGCTCGTCTCGCAGGTAAACGAAGCCATAATATAAAGATAAGAATCGTTTTAATAAAATCAATCAAAACGTTTTGACTCAACTGTTTGTATGAAATAAAATGAGAGAACAATGAATGAAAGAAAACATAGGAATAAATTGCAAATGAATGACCACTTCGTTTCCGTGACCCAGAAGTGTGTGCGAGAGTTCGTGCGCTAATATAGTGGCCAATTGGTCCTCATTATCGCACTGACGGATGATTCCCGTGAAGACGAAGATCTGTCCCGTCGGCAACACAAAGGCATTGATCTTTGAGTGATTGCTGATCACAAACACCTTCCAGTCTTTGCTTTTGATTTCCGCGAATTCATTGTTTGATTCCAACAAACGTTTGACAATTTTAGTGACTTTTTTAGTTGTCCTGTGATTGACGTCTAATATATTCTCTTTATTTGTTTCGTAGAAGACTTTAAACAGAATATGACTGATCTCTTCAAAACTTTCTTTGCCAAAGAGCACAAATCGCTGGCGTTTTGTAAACGGAGTTTCAGTTTTGCAATTCTCATAAAAGAAATACCAAATTCCAGACAAAACACTAACTGAAAGCGCTATCGGAATTGGATTTCGTAATATCAGTGCCGACAGTGATATACTCTTAAGTGAATTGTTTCGTTTCAAAATGTTGTGTACAATAAATCCTAAAAAGAGACCAACAATGGGTCCGAATTGACTAAAGAGTAACACACTGTGAGTGGCCGTCAAATAATTCCTATGACCTCTTAAGTCGTTCACACATTGAAAACTTCTTGGATTATAAATGCATTTCCCAAACAAATGTACTCTTTTGCTGGCATTCAATGGACGAAAAGCCAAACTTCTAAAATGTGATGTCATTACAGAAAATTGTCTTTTAATAATAAAATTCATTTTTTTGTGAGATGTCTTAGCGTTGGATAATTAGTGAATTCTTTTGTAAGGAATAATTATCAGTTTTGTGCGAAATATACGGTAATAATTGGTAAATATTTAGTTTACAATTTCAACCAATTATAGTCAACGGATATTGTGGTCATTGTTGAGTGCATTACATTTATTTGGCATCTTTTATATAAACTTAAATAAATGATAACAATTGAAAAGTTCGCGACAATAAAAAACACAAATTTTGAATTCAAAAATTTGAGTTAAAAGTCAGTAATTGAATAGTCGTTACAATTTATTACACAATCAAACAGTTGTCGCAAATCTTGAGTCATTTTATCTGAAGACCAACTCTCGAAGACCAGTGAATACAAGCGATGGGCGGCTGTTGTGGAAAGAAGAGCGAAGAAGAGGAGACGCCGGCCGACGGGAGCGGAGCCGCGCCCGCAGACGGGGCGCCGCCTGAAGGAGAAGAAGCGCAGCGCTCGCAGACGGGAGGAGAGGGAGCGGCGGCCGGATCTAAGGCGGCGGGCGTTTCGGCGGTGGCGTCGGCGACGTCGAAGAACACCAGCAAAATCGACGACAAAGTGGGCTCTAAATTCTTAGCCAAACCCTCGGGAACGTCGGCCACCGGTTCCGCCACCGGATCCAAGACGGGGTCGAAGGCCGGCTCGAAGGCGGGGTCGTATGTGTCGGGCGCCGGCGGTTCGTCTGCGGGCGGCTCTACTATCTCTGGCACCGGAGGCTCTTCGGCTGGCGGTTCGTTCGCCGGCTCTTCCATCAGTGGCGCCGGATCTTCGGCCGGAGGCGGCTCTTCTATCAGCGGCTCTTCGACGGGCGGCGGCGGCGGCTCTTCCATCAGTGGCTCGAAGGCCGGCGGCGGCTCCTCCTCTGCCGGACCCCAGTCTCGGGTGATATCGTCGAGAACTGGATCCGCGATCACTGGCGACAAAGCGAAGTCATCGGCGGCCCCGGCGTCCAAAGCGGCGCCGCAATCGCGAGTGATATCTTCGAGAACCGGTTCCGCCATCACTGGTGACAAAGGAAGCAAAGCGTGAATCCATTTTATACGATATATTGTGACACAAAATCAAACAGTTTTTACATGTGATCCGCTTTTATAGACAATAAATTCTGTCAATTCTTTGAGCCTTTAATTTATATTAAAAAATAAAATCTTTTTGACAAACATTTCTATAATTTGTTTATTTCTATAAAGAATTTGATAATTAAAGTGAAATTCAATTTCAATCTCTTGTGTAAGACTTAAACAAAAGGAAAACTGAATTAATGTTTCTTTGGAAAGACAGTCCTGTCGTCGTTTGACAGCCGATTTCTCGGATCATTTTCTGGCAAATCATTGCATTTGTAAACTTTCATAATTTTAATCATTGCCTCCATATATGAATCCATTGTTTGATATCTCGAAGTATGAGACGGATGTGTTGACCACGTGTGCGTCCATTTGGGCATTTCATTTGATGCCATTTTCATCCAGAAAGCACTGCCTTCGCGCACATCATAGCATGTCTTCGCTGATAATACGAGTCCAATAAAGTCGGCCTCCGTTTCAATGAATCTTCTTTTTGGCAATACTAACAGATTTATAGCTAAAACTGTGACTATTGTCCCGAACAGAGCTGGTATTCCGGGTAAACGAAGCCATAATAAGAAGATAATAATGGTTTTAATGAAATCACCCAAAACTTCATGACTCAACTGTTTATATGAAATAAAATTATAGAATAATGAATGAATGGAAACATAGAAATATGGTGTAAATGTATGACCACTTCGTTTCCGTGACCCAGAAGTGTGTGCGAGAGTTCGTGCGCTAATATAGTGGCCAATTGGTCCTCATTATCGCACTGACGAATGATTCCCGTGTAGACGAAGATCTGTCCCGTCGGCAACACAAAGGCATTGGCAACCGAGTGGTCGTCGATCACAAACACCTTCCAGTCTTTGCTTTTGATTTCTTCGAATTCTTTGTTTGATTCCAACAAACGTTTCACTATTTTATCAACTTTTTTAGTCGCCTTATGATTGACGCCTAAGACCTTATCTTTATATGAATTGTAGAGCACTTTAAACAGAATATGACTGATCTCTTCGTAACTTTCTTTCTCGAAAAGCATAAATTGCTTGCGTTTTGTAATCGGAGTTTCAGTTTTGTAATTCTCATAACAGAAATACCAAATCGCAGGCAAAACACTGAATGACAGGACTCTCGAAAATGGGTTTTGTAATATCAGTGCTACGATTGATCTTCTCTTAAGCAAAATGTTTCGCTTCAAAACGTTGTGCAGAACTATTCCTAAAGCCATCCCAACAAAGGGTCCGATTTGGCTGTAGAGCAACACATTAAAGGTGGCCGTAAAATATGTCCGATTGGCTCTCAAATTGTTCACACTTTGAAAACTTCTCGGATTGTAAACGCATTTCCCAAACAAGTGAACTCTTTTGCTGGCATTCAATGGACGATACGCTAAACTTCTAAAATGTGATGTCATTACAGAAAATTGTCTTTTAATTATAAAATTCATTTTATTGTGAGATGTTTTAGAGATGAGAGATATTCAGTGAATTATTTGTTAGAAATATAAGTTTTATTTGAAATTTACAGAAATAATTGATAAGTGTTTCAAATTGGTAATCGGGCTGACAATCGCTAAATTAAAGATTCAGTTATATTAACTGTAATGTAATAATTATACAATCATTGAAAGTCTCGCGAATGTATTTCTATGAAAACCTATTTAAATGTCTCGTGAAATACATTTCAAATTTAGTTACATTTTCACATTCTTTTCAAATATTTTAAACGAGAATTGATTTCCAAGAGTTTGAACCCTAAGTAATGAACCGAATGGACAAAAGCACGGAATCCAACGCTTCGGAGCCGGTCTTCCACGACCTGCAACCCAGTCCTCCCATTGAAGACACGCCACAAGGTTTGCCACACTATTCATAGCGACTATTGTTTTGCAACTATTATTTGTTTAACAGTAAAAGAAGAAGAAGTGGACGGCACAGGACTTCAAGAGTTGAGTCACTTCTGGTGGTGTCCTTACTTCGCACACAACAGCCAATGTCCATACATTGCCAACACTGGATCCGCTGTCGCAAACAGTTGGCCACAAGTAATGGACAACTCATACAACTCTAAAATGCAGAAAATGTTAATTTTGTAAAATTCCAGAAATCAGTTCAAAGTGAACGCAAGCCATACAAAAGCCGGACGACGGGAGCGGCAAAGAGTGTGACAAATGGATCGACTGATTGCAAGATTGAGAGACTGTATTCGTGCCGACTATGCAATGGTGTGCCCGAAACCAACGACGAGACGAGTTTTCGCAAACACATTGAACTTCATTTGGGAAAAGAGAGACCATTCGTGTGTCAGATCTGCGACAAGTTATTCAATTTCCGGTCCAATTGTCGCAATCATGTGATGGCTCACTGCGTTGTCCGCAAACAATATCACCCATAAGTGTCGAGCCATGAGTTTTGGTTACAAAATTTTGGTCATTAACTTTAAAATACTTTTCATTCGCTCTTTAAATCTTACAATTCGTTAAATCTTTTATTAATTAAAAACTAAATTCTGTAATCTATATATAATTTGTATTTAATATAACACATATAAAAATAAAAAATGTTATTTAAAACAAAAAATAAGTATAACTCGTAATAAATTTGTTAAAATCATAAACAAGTCTTAATTATGTCACAAATATTTTAAAATAAACATTAATGTGAATTATGTGCTAAAAGCTCTTTGATTCACAACAAACAGCTCTCAATCTCTTTGTAAATAAAACAAGAAATAAATCCAAATATGAATATCAAGTAATAGATTGTGTTCTTTGGGATAATAGACTTTCGTTTCCTCAGTAAACGCAACAAACGTTTCAATCGATTGTCACTATAAGGAGGATATCGTTTAGAGCCAACCCATTCCAGCACTGGATTAAAACCACGGATCAAAACTGAAATAAGAATCGATAATAAATAACAATTATGTTTAATAATCAATGAAAACAAATTATTACCAGATTTTTGGTGTGAGAACGTCTCGAAAGAGTACTTCCCATGATATGCACCGATACCACTGTTGCCGACCCCTCCAAATGGCAGGGCGTCTACTGTCAAGTGAATCATAGCGTCGTTCACACAAACAGATCCACTCGACGTCTTATTCAATAACTTGTCGATCACTACTTTATTGGTGGAGAAAATATATAAAGTCAATGGCTTTTCACGTTTATTAATGAAATCAATCGCTTCGTCAACATCTTTAACAACAATAATCGGAAGAATTGGTCCAAAAATCTCTTCTTGCATAACGGGATCAGTTGGCGAGACATCAGTCAAAATAGTTGGCGCTATATATCTATCGGTAATATCTTTATCGCCACCGATAAGTATTTTACCAGAAGTTAAAAACTTTTCTAAACGTTCAAAATGTCTGTCACTAACAATGCGTCCAAAATCTGGACTCAATTTGGGATTTTCACCGAAAAAAATCTTCAATACTTTAGACGCGTTTTGAACGAGATTTTTGTGTACATTTGGTGTGCAAAGTATATAATCGGGTGCAACACAAGTCTGGCCGGCGTTTATCATTTTAGCCCATAGTATACGCCGCCATCCCATCTCCATATCAGGCAGAGAGTCGTCGACAAACAGAGGACTCTTTCCGCCCAACTCTAGTGTCGTTGGAGTCAACTGTTGAGCCGCCAATTGGTGGACACAACGGCCCACTCTATTGCTTCCCGTGAAGAATATATAATCAAACTTTTCGGTCAATAATTGTTTCGTGTCTTCAGCGTCTCCAAGAACTACATTATGATTAACCAAATCATTAAATCATTAGATGATATAATTAATATATTTTATAGTTTCAAATAAATAAACCAAAATATAAATTATATGAATGCAAAAGTAGGCATTCATTTAAAATCAAAACTCATGAATAATAAATGTGTTGTACAATAATAAACATGATAATAAATGTGAACAACGCATACCGATATGATAGCATCGTTTGTCCAGATATTTGGGAATTAATTGATAAAACAATTCAGCGGTTTTGGGCGATAACTCCGACGGCTTGACAATCGCCGCGTTTCCTAACAATTGGTGTCAAACTTTCAAATTAAAGCTTTCGGTAAAAAAGTAAAGTTTGGTTAAATACCGGCAGCGATGGCACCAATGAGTGGACTCAGAGTGACCTGAATCGGGTAATTCCAGGCACCGATTATAAGCACCAAACCGTACGGCTCTGACTGTATGAACGGGTCGTCAGCGATGGTCACCAAAGTTTTTGGCACTGATTTTCGGGCCACGTATTCATCTATATTGAAGAGCTGTCCTCTGATATCGTTGAGACAAAAGTCAATTTCAGCCATTCGTGTCTCAAACGATGGTTTCCTTATGTCTTCGTTGAGCGCCGACACAATCAACGACTCGTTGTCCACCAGAAACTTATACAACGCTTTCAACTGATTCTTCCGGAACTCCACATCTTTAGTGATTCCGGCGGCAAACGACTGGCGAGTCTTCGCCATCAGATCACTGTATTTGGTCTTCGGGTCCATCATCTGAGAGGTGATATCCACTGTCTTAAGAGGCGACTGACTGTACGGCAAGACTTGTGGCAATACTTGCACTCAAATGAACCCAAAAAACAAAGTTATAAAAAGAGCTTTTGTGCCAAATGTTGAACACATCCAAGACTTTGATCTCATATGAACTTTGAAACACTTTTTTGGGACACGTTTTTAGTCTAACATTAATCTCAATAAAAAAGTTTTGGTTTTATTTTTGTTTTCATTTCAAAACTTGTTTTTCATTTGAAGCCAAAGAAGAGCACAAGTCTTAAGACAAGCCTTCAATTCAATCCAGTTTTGCTTTCATTGCATAACAACACAAATAATACATTCAAAACAATTCACAAATCAATTACTTTTCCACTACTTTTAAACCCATTTTTCACTCAAACAACTCATTATTCATTGAACTCAATGTCCATTCATTGCCTATTCTTTGCCCCCTTTTCTCTGTTATCGTCACGTTATTTATGAGCAGTGATTGAGTGTATTGTTTGTTGTGTTGAAATGTTGTGAAATTAGACGACAATTGTTTGTCACCCGAAGAGCAGCTAATTATGCGTTAAATGAAGATATAGTTGACATCAATCGACACACCATTCAAGCCATGAAGAGATCGTTTAACTCAATGAATGGCAACACGAGTGCCGCCGACGACAAGAGTGTCCGAAGAGTCGGTCAATACGTATTGGGTTTGTATTGAATTCATTAATCACTGATTGTCTTGTAATTGATCCCAAAATTAACGATACGATTGTGTTTTAAAAGGTATGCGTTTAGGCAATAGTCCCGTCCGATCGATAGTCCAATGTCTGGCCCGACGTATCGGTGATCCGCAGAGCGACCGCTTCTTTGCGGTCAAAATCCTAACTCTGGAGGACTTGTATAACGAGAGTCAAGACGACAGACAGGGAAAGATGTTATTGCATACCGAGTACTCATTGCTATCACTTCTGCACGACATGAATGGCGTGATTCACGTCTACGGACTCTTCAAGGATGAGGCTATGGAGGAGAGAGAGGTGTCTGCGGGTCAGTGGGTCCGCACGGGTAACACTAAGAAACGCATTTGTCTTGTGTTGGACTGTCTTTGGGCGCATGACTTTAGCCCAAAGTCGTTGGATTTGGTGAATCTTCAGCACCACGTCATCAAAGAGAAGAAATTGGCCGAAAGGGAAGCGCTGCGAGTCTTCTACGAAGTGGTGACCATTGTTTGCGATCTTCACAAACGAAATATAGTTCACAGAGACCTCAAACTCGGAAATATGGTCTTTAATCGCCGGACACGAGCCGTCACTTTAATTAACTTCTGTTTGGGAAAGCATTTGATTAACGAAAACGATTTGCTGACCGACCAAAGAGGGTCTCCCGCTTACATCAGTCCCGACGTTCTCAGCGGTAAACCATATCTGGGAAAGGCGTCCGACTGTTGGGCACTGGGAGTGGTGTTATATACGATGCTTTTCGGTCAGTTCCCGTTCTATGATTCCGTTCCTCAAGAGTTGTTCCGCAAAATAAAATGCGCCGAATATTCGGTTCCCAAAGAGAGTCGAGTGTCGTTCAGTACGATATCTATTATCCATAAGCTATTGGTGTTGAATCCGAGGGAACGTATGACTGCCGAGCATGTGTTGGACGCACTTCAGACATCGCTCGCCCTCTGGTTGTCTACAAAGAATATGATTTCACAGTTACAAGTAGTTCCCGATATCGACCAACAATTGAATACTAATAATGATAATAAATCAGATGAAGTGACAGCTAAAGAGACAAAGAAACTGCAGCTTAAAGGCAATGAATTGTTTGTTAATAATTATAAGCAAATTGTGGACAATCGCGTTGATGTGCCCAATGCTGAGCCATCGACTAGCGGTTCCCATAAACACAGTGTTATACATCTGACGAGTGGTCGTATCAGAACCACTCCCATCGGAACCCTTCCCATCCGTCGCATTGAAAGCGACGCCAAACCCCTAACCGCTCAACAACTGCTTTATTATAAGAGTCTTATATCTAATTCAAACGATACGTAACTAATAATCATTTATATTATAATTTGAAATTTTTATTTTTATAATCATAAAAGAAATGTTATTTACATAAATATTTGTAAATTGTGTTTTAATTATTGAGAATTTGTTTGATTTTTAGTCATTTCCCATATTTATTAATATTTATAAAAAATTTTGTAATCATTTAAATAAAAATTTGATATTCAACAGTAATTATAAGGCATTTATAACATATAATTGAAATACAATTGTGTTATCATTTATTATTTTGTGCGTTCAGTAATTTTATAAAAATATGTGATTAAAATATTCAATTGTCATAACATTTGTGCTAATAGTCACTTAAAGTCACCATCATGTGGTATGGCTGGCATATCCTCATCACCGCCTTCCATGCCATCCATGCCTTCTCCCCCGTAATCTCCTCCCATTCCTCCGTAATAATCCATTCCTATAGATATCCTATTAAACTATTGTCGACTCCGTTCTCAATCGATGTCAATCTTATCGCTTACCGTGTGATCCGAATGGGCCGTAGTTTTGAGCAAACTTAGCCATTTCGCACTGCATCTTATAGGGCTTCACCATAGAGTTCATGTCTTCCGGATCGTAGTGTTTGCTGTCGTCTAACATACCAGACATGCCATCCCGACTGCCGCGACTGATCTCATCGGCGTTCGGCTCAATACAATTGAGTCCTTTCAGGTAATGAGTGCACGAATCCCACGACTTTGCGATTCTGTAATGTTTCACATTTTACGTTAACAAATAATTTTATCAAATCGTGTTTTATTTGTATGTGACCTGCAATAGGGGTTATTGTTTTCGGCCCTAAACATGCCGAGTCGGTCGCCGTCATCCTCCGGGTCGTTGTCGTCAACGAATATCTTCTTGAGTCCCAAGCATTTGGCAAACTTGTCACTGATTGGCGCGAACTGTGCCTTCCATTCTTCCTCCTCGCAGATGGTCTTCAGACTCAGGTCTCTCCACCGCATATTCAACTCCATGTCAGGTTCCGGTGTCTTTCCTCTCTTCGACTGTACACCTAATGGCATATATTATCCATTAGTTATTTCAATAGAAATTTTCATTAATTGAAGAAAAAATCAATTTATTCTTTTGATTTCTTTCAAAAATTGTTAAAAATTTTGAGTCTAATTTCAAAGTTCTTGCAAATTATAGTATTTTTCAAACAAGAAAAGTGCATGAAATGCATCAATCATTTACAGTTTACTGCTTTTCCTAAGTTTGAATAAAAGGCAATTTTTGTGGCAAATTCTCGGTATTTTAAGCCACAGAATTTTGCCTTAAATATTATGCCATAGCTATGGCTTTGCTTTGTATCCATAGATTTAGTAAGACTTACAGGAATTTAATGACAAAATTAATGCCAAAAATAGGAATTGATTTAAAGAATTCATTCTTTTAACAAAAATACTTTTCAATAAAAATTTATCACAAAAATATTCACTTATTTGAAACCAAAATTATGACACGTATAAAAAGATATCTTATTTATTTTGAAATAAAAAATGCTTAACAACTGTTGCCGTGTTTTTTATTCGCATTGAAAAACATAATAATTAGTATTGATTTATAAGAATTCAATGCATGAAAAGTATCGTTAAGAATAAATATTTTATAACTAAATTCATTTATTTCTAATGAAAGCAAATGTATAGCTTCTTGGACTGTATGCCACACTTACTGTTAGTGTTGTTTCAAACAGTGTTGTGGAGTGACATTCAATCGATGAAATCTATTCAATGCTTTTAATGAGATAAGAGTCTCAGGAATTGAAGAGCGCCTGTAAATAGCCCTCAGCCTTGACATTGTATTCATTGATGCCTTGTATTCACTATTTAGATAATATTGTTATTTAAATAATATATTATTCGTCAAAGAATTAATTAATATATTTTTTATGATTGTATTCAATAATTACAGTATAACTAATGAATTTAATTTTAATTCTAATCTTTAGAGAGAGAGAGAGAGAGAGAGAGAGTCAATGAATTCTTCAGTAGCCATCCTTTAAATTAAACTTTTAATAGGATTTCTGTTTCTTTTTTCGCTTTTTGAAGCAATCATTTACTACTTTTGTCTTAATCTTTAATTTATTGGTTAAGACAGTGATCTTTTGAAGACATAGAGTAATTACTCTACAATTCATGAGTATAGGACCAAAATTCAATGAAAGTTGCATTTCATAAATAATGCATTCGTATGAATGAAGTGATTGTTGAGAAACATTTCATTTGAAATCTCAAATCCAGTATTTAGTACTCATAACATCGATGTCATCGCAACTCAATTAACAGTAATATAAATGAAAGTAAAATCGATTTTTGTTATCAATAAAAACCTCAACTAAAACATGACTTACAATGAAAAGAAAGAAAATGAGAAGACTTTGGGATAATTTTGTGATATTTGAGAGCCTTATTCTTGATCTGATATATCAAAAGGGAGTGAATTCTTGACTAAAACTTCAATGAAATCATTAGTTGAATGAAAAAAGAAGATAATATGAGACGAAAGTCTTGTATTTTGGTTTTTATGTGAAGTCAAGCAAAACTGCAATTGAAGTGAAGATTTAATAAGAAATTATTGTTAAGATTTTCTCATTATTTCAAATATAATTCTAATTTTACACAATAATTAAAGAATATTCTTATTTTTGAATGTATTTTATTGAAGATTAGTATTGAATTTAATGAGAATTTATATAAACATTAATTGTGAGGCATTTTCTTATCGTTTTGAACTTTAAGCTATTCTCTAATCTAATAAAAAAAAGTGTTTCAAATGTGTTCCCAAACTAATGATAATTCCGACATCATATCAAATATCTTAATATTTAAGACATGATCTGAAACATCGATCTCTCCACTCAAGTCTCTGAACATATTCTTCAGATTTGCGATCATTTGGTTGAGGCTGTGGTTGAGGCTGAGGTCGGGACGCGTGTCGATCCACAGAATCGGGCACTCGATTACCATGAGTTGAATCAACAATTACCGTTTGATCATATCTTCTGGGAGTGTAATGAGGGTCTCGTCTTTCATCCCTTCTCTCGTCTCGTCTCTCATCCCTCCTGTCATCCCTTCTTGAGCCACAATTGGCCTCATCGTCGCCATAAGAGCAATGATATGTTCCGTCACTTTAATGGCGAAACAGGGCTTACTTTAATGATCTTTGAATAGAAACTAATGATTATCTAATGACATACCAAACGTGTCGACTCTCAATACATTGTGCGGGCACTGAATTAATGCCCGTCCCGTGGCATTGGTATTGCTCTTGAGTGCATTTCTGGTGTTGCGGTCGACCTCTGCTTATTTGATCAGTACTACAACCGCTCTCATCGTCGCTATTCTCGCAGTCTCTCATACCATTGCAGCGCCACTCCTGAGGAATACAACGAGTCTGTGCCGTGGGATCCACTTTCTGGCACTGGTATTGACCACTTTGACACGTTTGAGGATAACCTGATTAAACAATTAATAAATTTATTTTTAACTTATGCATAAAAATATAAATTATTGCATGTATTGAGACAATACCCCTGTTCTGGACAGCGCTATAGTCAGGCTGTGGCTGATTGTCGACCGAATCGGTACCGACTCTGGACTGATCAACACTTGGATGCGGAGCGTCGGGTTGACCTAAAAGAGGAGGGCTGAGCTCTGATACATCACTTGGATCAGGCTTTGAGCCATTGTCTAAGTCGTCGTCTTGATTGTTAATGTCGGCGTTGGAATCAATGTCTTCGTCGTCGTCCTCATCGTCTGAATTCAATTGCAAATTCTGTTTCTTGTCGAACATATTCTCTGATTCCGATTCCACGATAACTTCTGAAAGTGTGGTTTCGTCTTCATTATTAATGTGTGCGCAAAAAGACACTTGAATTACAAATAAAAGTAATACAATTAAAATGAATTTCATTTTTATATATAACTTTTAGATGCTTTCAAACATTCAAACTTCTGGTAATTGACTAAAACTTAATTTTTCATAAGAAATGTAAAACCATTTTAATCAGACATTCAATCAAATTATAGATTATAGCGTTTTTCATATCAGAATACAGACTAATGATTGAAGTCTTGTATTAAACATTATTATTAAACATGTTTTTTATAATTAATTTATTTATATTTAGATATCAAGAAATGTATAAAATATCAATAAACCGTTTATTAGAAGTCTTTTTGCAGACATTTCACAGATTTTGGTTAATTTACAAAATTAACATTTAGTGTTTTATGTTAGTATCTTTATTTTATACATTATTAGGTTGTAATGTAGTAAAAAAACGCTAGATATAAAACAACAGAATAAAACTGAACTAAAAATCTCTTATGAAATCAGTGATTTGTAAATACGGGAAATAATTTTATTTGAATTTACAAAATGGAATAAAAGTATTTTAAAACCCGATTATAAACAGTTTAAATTGCAATACAATATGATTTTATAAATGATTTATATATTTAGCAAACATTATTGCATTTGTTTAAAAATAATAATAAAATATGTAAACTGTAAGCGTTAAAAATATTTTTTGAAGAAAATATAAAACTAAATAAGATTGAGAAATCATTTATTGAAATAATAAAATAGCAAATTTTATTTGAAATTGATTTAAATTATGATTTCTAAAATAATTGCAAAATTTGCAACTAATATAAGCATTCAATTACATTATATCATCAAAAAGTCTGTAGAAAATTATTCTTTAAACTTCTTTTCGTGCTTAAAGTGATTAATGAATATTTATTTCACACTTTAATGTTTTAGAAATCAATTTTATTGGTGTTAAATAATTGATTGAATGCTTTTTATCTCCAGAATTGTATAATTAAGCGATTGAAGTAATGAACTTGAATTCAATTCAACATTTGTTTTTTATATACACTATAAGTGTAGACATAATACACGATAGGAATCATTGGAAATACAAAATCATTGCAATTAAAGGAGTGAATGAAACAGAATTATTGATTGCAACAAAACGATCGAAATTAAGTATTTATAAACAATTCTGTATTAATGTTAAGAAGTTCAGGATTTATGTCTTGTTTGATATTTGTTGTGTCTGTTTAGCCAAGAAGTTAAGGAATTGTCTTATAGTAAGCACTCTATTGTTGAATAGAAAGTCCACAACTTAGAGCTCGTCTCTTACGATCGGATACTTTTCTTCTAAGACATTGATTGCGCCAAAGAGAAAGAAATGGAGAGAGAGAGAGAGAGAGAGAGAGAGAGAGAG